TAGGTGGTCATTTTTATATTTTATGGAATATATCTGTTATTTACGTTTGGAGAAGAAAATTCTTCAAATAAAAGTTACTTCTAATATAATTATCTATAATTTTTGTTTTATGCAAAATTTTCCTAAAATGGTCCGTATTCGAGAAATTTGACAAAATGTAAAAAACATAATTTTTTATAAAAATTGTTCAAATAAAAGTTGTTTATAATATAATTCTCTATAATTTTTGTCCTATACATAATTTCTCTAAAATGGACCGTATTTGAGATATTTGAGAAAATGTGTAAATTTCGAAATTTGAAGAAAACTCAAAAACGGATAAAGGAAAAAACATTAAATTTTAAACTTAAGGTTTATTTCGGCCTGACGTGAAATGATTAGATTTTGGACAAAGTTGGAACATCTGGGGGGGTACTTTATGGGAGGCCGTTTTTATATTTTATGGAATATATCTGTTATTTATGTTTGGAGAAGAAAATTGTTCAAATAAAAGTTACTTCTAATATTATTATCTATAATTTTTGTTTTATGTCAAAATTTCCTGAAATGGTCCGTATTCGAGAAATTTGACAAAATGTGCAAAATTCTGATTTTTATGAAAATTGTTGAACTAAAAGTTGTTTGCGATATCGATTTCTATAATTTTTGTTTATACATGATTTTTCTAAAATGGTCCGTAATGGAAAAGTGCTAAATTTAAATTTTTCTGTATTTTCGTTTTCAATGAATATCTATAGAAAAATATTTCGAGGTAGATGTATGTGTAAAATGTATATATTTAGTTTATCCTCTAAACATTTATAGAGATGCTGCAATAGGTTGTACAAAATAACCGGAAAATGCCTATAATAACTAGATAGGAAAGTCATGTGTTGGACACATCAGATTTTTTATTTTACTCCTACTTTTAGTCTCTGTCTATTTTGCACTGTAAGTGTTTTCTTTGTTCACTAGAACTTGCTGACTTACGCGATTGTCCTTAATTGTGTTTCGTAACCTGATGCGCGTGTGCAACGTTAATTAGGACGAAGGTCACTATTTTCACATATAACATATATGATTACAGTCGCTCAATTGGTGCCGCAATAAGATGCTTTCAGATCCAAAATAAAGTAAAGATCCATCACAAAAAAAAATGTATAGCAATTTCTAGTTATTTGACTCGACACTAATCTGGAAAGACTTTTAATCCAACAGTAGTGACTATTACCCGAATCGCCCGTTATAAGTAGTAAATTTATATTACGACCTAACCTTTACCGGGAATATCGTAATGGGCCTACTATTTCAAATTTCGCCTTACCGTTTTCATAACTACGTTCCAAACCATAAACATTAACACTTATATCATTTGTCTTCAAATTTTGAAATGTCTAAGTTTTATGGGAAATTCAATATCCTTAACATTCAGCACGGTCTCGAAGTGTGGATACGACGACGTTTCGCGTTTCGCTAACATGCTCTCTCGCTTGATATAGTGCCGATATGATGACCCAAGCAAAGCAGTACGCATCATTATTTTGCACATTAACTACGCCCTTCTTGGTTTCAATAAACTTGGGTAGCTTTATGTGCGAGCAACCGCCTAATGGAGAGTACTTATTTATATTTACTTCTAAAAATAATACTTCCAGTAATGACCAGCCTGAAACAACGAATCATTTATTAGTTAATGCCGTATTATGTATTATAAAACATCAATACCTGAATCCTTATGTTGAAAGTCTACCGCACCCTTAAAGACTGCATATGTCGCATCCAAATCCGTCGACAAATCTATTATTCGATTTATGTTATTAAAAGATTTGATTTCAGAAATATCTTGACTCTGCAACACATATGTAGCGAAGACCTCTACATTAACTTTAATGGCATTATGGACCCTCAGAACAACTTTTAACAATTTCAATAGTCTACATTTTACCGCATCGAAAAATGTTACTAATCTATGTTTTTTTATCACTTTTGACTCTGTAACTCGCAATTCTGCACTTAAACGCACTCAATTGAATATATACCATCGGCATGAATTGAGCAGGCTTTTTCTTAATGGTCAAGGATTTTCATATGCGATGACATCTGATTGGTAGGGATGTCTACATTACATGATTCACATCTCCCATTACGCGCTTTTTTACAGGGCTGGAAGTGGTAGATCTTTTCATACCACGTGATGATTCACCGGTGCGATTAGATATCAGCTTACAACTTTTATTTTGATGTCGATGTAAATTATATATCCTTGTAAATGTTAAACCACAATTACACTTATACATGTCTATTATTTTTATGATAATTTCGATATTAGATAATGGAACTTCCAACGCGCTTAAAGCTCACGATTTTTGTACTGATTTCATTTGAATATGGGCGCTACTATATATCCTCTAAAAATCCCCACCTCTCTTATGCTCCCCTCCCCTATTCATAATATACAAGCCTAAGAGGCGCTCGAAAATTGTGTGAAGAATGGGGTACTATCCCTTCCACCGATGTTTACCTCGCGCGTGTCTGCTGGTGACTTGCGCTTCACTCTAGCTATGACGGTTGAGAATAAAGGATGTGTTTTGGTATGCCTCGACGTATGTCCCCTATGCTGCAAAGCAATCACCGATACGTACTTAGACTAAACTCATTACACTACATGATATACATAGTAATTACTATCTAAGAGGTACTTACTATTCTCGTTACATGCTACCTGATGTGCACAGTAAATACTTACATCTACATGTGTATGAAGTAATTACAGTTCATCAAATTTCTAGAGGCTTTCGACGGCTAGACAGAGAAAGCACTACTGACAGGCATCCCGACGGATTTACGCAATGAAAGTACACTCTGCGCATCAAGTATTTCACTATTTCATTCAGACATAAATGTCAGATGTAAATTTCGCTAAAACATTTCTTTTATTTTCGTTTGTGTTTTTTGCTTATTACAGTTTAATAGAATCTAAGTATGGAGTTTAATAGCAAATTAAGAGGCCGCGTGATTAACAGTCAATCTCGCGAAATAATAGCCAATGTTATAGAGTTTATGAGAAGAGAAGGAAACTTTAATTCACCTTCAATACCATTTAAAAATGTAAATGATCGTGTTGCTGCAGCCACAGGAGTATCTAAAAACACTGTCGTCCGCATTTCTGGAGAGAAAAAAAGAATCGATAACCGTGAGATATCGGAATTTTCATCACCAAGAAAAACCATTAAAAAACCAAAAACAGTTAATGATATAGATGAAGCTGCACAAGAATCAAATTTTATTTTTTTATTATTAGATAGCTATTTTTGTTTCTGAGTTGTGTTCATTTACAGGCTCAATTTTTTTCCGTTTCTCCTTTTTGATTTTATATGGGGTATCAAGTTGGTTTTGACTTATTTCGACGTAAATCACAACAACACACTTTTTTAATAAAGCAAACAAGTGTTAAGAGGTATATGTACGTGTAAACTACAATTACAAAAAATTGATATGAAACCCATGAAACCACCAACAAAAATGTAAAGCTAGCTTCCGTACTAGAACATGGTGTCATTCATCGAGATAATTTATCGTTTTGTTTAATAGATCAAGAAATGTAAATATTCCCCTGTTATTTTTTATAAAATTATAAGAGAAATAAATTTTTTTCTAAATAGTATAGTTTATTATTTTGTAGAAAAACAAAATTTCGAAAATTTTAGTAATGTTTCAGAAACAACCGTTATTAATAATAGGTACCATTTTCCTTAATAAGGTAGAAATAAAATATAAACTATTTCCACGATTTACAAAGGCCTACAAAAAAATTATAGGTATTTTCCGCTATCCTATAAAATTTATATTTTCTGACTCAATTTCAAAAGGTTGAAGGAATTCCAAAACACCTTTTATGGTATAATAATTATTTTCAATTCTACATACTATCTTTAGCTGCTTTTAAAAACGTTCTAAGAAAGTCGAATCAGACCAATTTAATCCCTAAACTATTCCACACTTTTAAAATTTAATTACCTAAAAATATTAAAAACTATTTAAAATAACTTGTTTAGCAGACTGTACAATAGCTATCTTAGTCACACGTAGCGCGTTCTCTGTCTGGGCGTCGAACACCTCTAGAAATTTGATGAACTGTACACTCATTACAATAGGCAATTACGCTCATTGGGAGGTACTTGCTAATTGCGCGAAGGGTGGGGGTGGGTACTTAGGATAATTACTATTTACCTCTCATTACCTCCCGCCCAGAACTGACCAATCACAACTTCTCCTTTCTACTTTCTGATATCCACTATTTCGAGTAATTTTTCGCAGCTTGCACTAGTATCGCTTTTGCTTCCCCTACCATGACGTCGCACTGAGCGATTAAATGAACCTGAAAATGAAAATAAACTGAGAGCTGATATTACCGTCTAAAAGGACCATTAGACTATATGCATCGTAGAATTTTGGAAAAAAGATAAATAGAAAAGTGTTCAAAAAGAATCGCTGGGAATTTTCAAGTTGCTAATTTCGACATTAGATGGCGTAATGCTTATGATCAATTTTTGTCATTGGCTGAGAGCAATAGCGGAAAAATTAGGAACTAACAAATAATTTTCAGTCATGTTTAAGGACCACTATTATTGCTAATAAATAACTCTGAGATCTGAAGGATAAACGGTTTCTTAAATATGGCCGGTGTGCTTTCTTATTTTTACAACCAGTACATTATGGAGCCTACTTTTTTACACCAAAAATAGATAGGAGATTGATAGTTATATTACAAAATTATGGTTTATTTCAACACTCAACACTAAAAATTACATATGAAATGCCATATATCTCATTTTTGTTGTCTGTGTAAAGGTACTTAACACCTTTTATACAGACAACGACAAAACAAAATTGGTTCACTGTTAATTTGAATAATATGCAAAACATTAGTGATTGCGTGAATAAATCCAAATAATAATTGTCCTATCCTAAATCCTACTTAGGTACATTTATTATTAATAAAAATATTTTATTTATTTCAGAGTGTGTTTAAAATACATTACACAATGCATTGAAGAAATGAAAACCAAATCATACGAAAATATGAGAGATCAAGATATTTCGATCCTAGAACAAATACTTCTGAAAACAGGAAATACGAAACTAGCTGCTGTTTTGGCTTTGGATCTGTTTTTAGTAGGAGTAGATACAGTAAGATATAATGAATGTTAATCCTTAACACCCTTTATAGGGCGCCATGATTTTATTACTTTCATTTCTAAATAATTATTTTAATAAAAAATATCAGGACTGTTATACGAGCATAAGGAGGTTGTGACATAAAACCAGTTAGTATTATATCTCAATGGGATAGAGGGGTCACTGAGGAAAGCGGGGAAATAGTAGCTTATGTTGGCAAAACTTTTCTAATTTTTGTTCTGTGAAAACCATAATTATCGTTGGTTCTGCAATAATTATTGTCATATAAAACCACAGACAGATTTAGTTATTAAATACAATCTGGTACAACCTACATCATCCATGAAAATCAACATTAATTTTTTTTAAAACAATTTGTAGATATGGTTATTTTTCTTGGACATCCATAATTAATTATATCAATAATGACTGCATCGTCATGTAAGAAAATTGTTTCTTCAATTTTCATTTCGATATAAACCAAACCAAAATAGCATGAAATTAAAAGTTATCTATTTTTCATGACGTAATCTACTTAATAAATTATAAATAATTGATTAAATTAAAACATTTATTTATTTAATCTCAGTGTTTTTGGAAATGTCATATTTTTAGATGGCCCATACATTTTACTTAAATTGGCAGGCTTGACGACTTTTATTTCGAATAAAAATAGCTTCCAAGATGAAAGGTTATGTCATAATCCACTTAAATATATCAACACTGGTAAATATCTAATAAATTTTTTTTAAGACCTCCATAGCTGTTGCCTCTACGATGTATCAGTTGTCTCAAAATCCAGAAAAACAACAAAAATTATATAAAGAGCTTACAAATATCATGCCCAGTCAACATTCCCAAGTAGATTTAGCTATTCAGGAAAAAATGCCGTATCTTCGGGCCTGCATTAAAGAAACCTTAAGGTAAGCATATCAGAGGATACAATGGTATTCAAATGGCTCTGTTATTATTTAATTTTTAATGACGAGGCCTTTTAAAATTACAACTCAGATTAAAAGTAAATTAACATCGTAATGTCTATTAACTAGTCTAGTGTATTGCAGCTGACTTAAAGGTATTTAAAACACCGATCACAGCTCAGCTGTGTGGGACCAGCCACGGTTTGAATGAGTGAACGATGAAATATATGGGTAGAATGTATGACTTAAATGAAAGGGGAGAAATAGTGAGACATACATATAATAGCACAATAAGCCCATGAGAATGCAGTGCCGCCATGCGAACACCAGTTGAGGGATAGCTTGCTGGAACCCAAGCCTGATTGGAGGATCCTAGCTTAAACTAAAGCCGGATTTGGGGAAGCCGGCTGAAATCACTCAGGCGGGGAAGTAGAGGGATGGCTAGAAGGGACGAATAAAACAAAAATATTGTGAATTGTTTCCTTAGCGAGGTGACTTTACTGAATGGCGGTCGGTGGAGAAAGGATAATGGATGCATTAACAGTAACATTTATTTTATCTTAATTGGAATTAAACCAATTAGTGATCTCTTGTCTTCTATATAGATCGATTTTTTTGTGTTGAGCTTAAATTCATTATGGACATCATGCGCTTAATGAGGAGTCTATCGCGCATGATAGTGATGTGTGCAAGCACTGTATACCTATTAAAACCATCTAGTTGAGTTAAAATAAATTGCGATACCAAAAACCTGTGTAATAGTATATTCCGTAGTAAGCGGCCAATCACAAAGCCTTTAGAACGCCGCTACTTCTTGGCCATCTTGCAGGATTATCTTCATATCTTGTAGGTAGCTGTGGATAATTATTAACATAACTCACTACACCTTTTGTTTTTAATACCCTTGATGCGTATAACCACCGTTCCAATCCCATGTTTTAAAGGAAATGTAAGCTTTGGAGTTAGTTTAAGTTGAATAGATCTTCTCCTTTTATTTGGTATGCTCCTACTTATAGTTCTCTTGGATTCTGAAGTGCTAAAACTGTGAATGAATGTTTTATCCTTCTTCTCCTCACAAATATATTCTCTACTATTCCCAGTTACGAGGCGTAGCCTGTTCTTGCCCAGACATACATGATTTTGATCTTTTTTGGTTATAGTCACCCAAAAGTATCTCAAAAGATCGTTCCAATTGTCGTTTCTTTTATGACGCAGTTATTACTATTACTTCTGATACCGCAAAACGACTCAGATCCCACAAAGGGTATTTGAGCCTCTGTCCTGGCGAGACAATATGCAATCTCCGTTACCCTTTACCCCGTTATGTCCCGAACCTAAGTGAGTGTAACTGTATTTTTCTCGCCTAGCTCATTACATTTTTTAGGCATCTAAATTTTTAAGCAACGTTATTCTACATGTAATTTTCCCACTCTACCGTTTTTTAAATTCAACTCGGCCCAATATTAATTAAGATATGGACTTAGGTCCTTTTCGCATTGCCACTGTGCGTGTTATTTCTCTTCAACGTTAATCTACATGTAATTTTCCCCACTCTCTTCGTGTTTTCGGTTGAATAGACCCAATAGCAACGGAGATATACGCCAATGTCCTCTTGGCTTTGTCATTACGAATGATTTTTCTTTTCACAGTTAATCTATACTCGTTCTCGTAAACGATGGCCGCCATCTTGAATCGCTTAGTCGAATCGGATATCACTTATTCAAGTTTCACTTTACGAGAAGAAAATACAAATATTTTAAAGATATTCGCCTTCGGATATAATATTTGGTACCGTTAATAATATGTAGTTATTCTATAGGGTGATTTTCATCAATAATGGTTTATCACAATTTTCTTCTAAAAAATAAACAGCATTATTAGTTGTTTCTACGTGAATATGATTGAAAATTCCATTGAATTGTTCTGGTGTATTTTATATATACAAATATACATACATTTATTGATTCATAATGCATTTCTCACGTGCCTATTTTGCAACCCCCATGAGAAAATTGTAATATAATATGTCAACTAATAACAACTTTTCGTAAGGGAATTTGTTATGCGTCACCTATTTGTTTAAATACTATATCAATTTAACAAAACTATGTTTATATATTTCAGAATGTATCCTGTGATAATAGCCAATGGTAGAAGTTTGCAGTCAGAGACAGTATTGGATGGATATAGAGTTCCTAAAGGGGTAATTTGTTTAATAATACGTTTCTTGTTACCACAAACAATACTTTAAATAACTTCTTTTTTTGTGCAGACTCACGTGATATTTCCGCATCTAGTTGTTAGTAATATAGAAGAATATGTAGAGGAACCAAACAAATTCATACCAGAAAGATGGTTGCATTCGAGTCATTTGGAATGTCCTGTAAAACAGGAAAAAATACATCCTTTCATCGCTCTACCATTCGGTTTTGGCAGAAGATCCTGCCTGGGCAGAAGATTTGCAGAAGTCGAGCTCAACATTCTTTTGGCAAAAGTATTTATGATATTTTTCATATAATCTCTATAGCTTCAACATATATTTATTAATACTTACTTTTTCCCAATTAAGACTAAATATGCTGACCAATTATTTTTGTTTTCAGATTTTTAGGAGGTATAAGGTTGAGTACAACTATGGGCCTTTAACCTACAAAATTACGCCGACATATGTTCCTGAGCAACCTTTAAAATTCAAACTTATAAAAAGAGAAAATTAATTATTTTTATTTAGATAGTATAATTTATTATGAATATCCTTTGCAGTAACTGTTTTCTAATTAAAAGTGTAATATTTTGAATAGCGCCGTCTTATTTCCTTATGAATAATTTAATTCATTTCAAAATAAATTTTAAGAAAAAATATGACATAACCTACCTGTTATTTTTCAAGATGGTTCATAAAAACAAACAAATTCAAGAAGACAATTTTATTAAGAAAAATCAATATCGGTAAAAATTTAACGAGGTTAATCGATATTTCACCGAGAGCACAAAGGAACCTTATCAGTAATGTGAGAGGAACAACGGGAGATACGCTTTAATGTGACTTCTTGACTTTTAACAAGGAGTGTGAACAAATTTTGTATTGTTAAATAATTTTTATTGTTAAATATATATACATTTAAGCCATCATTACGAAGCCAAAATAGACATTTGGCTTAGGTGATGCAAAGCCCATTAGGTTTTTACGAAGCCCAAATATCGGGCTTCTTAAACATAGCATGTATAAAATTCAGACAATGTAGGTAGGACCATCTGAAAACACTTCTAAAAATTTCATAAGTATGCATAATATCTTAATTTATACACCTTTGGTTCACCGCAGTTGACTGAAGAGGGCGTACGATTGCAAATGTATATTCATTGAATATGGTACACGTACTATAGGAGCCAAGTACGTTGTTCATACTATAAAAATCCCCCAAATTTGGCAACAAAGCTTTTTATTATGCCTATTTAATTTTATTATACAATGAGGTTTTGAAATAACAGTTCAATTAATTTTCTAATAATTAAGGAACATCCGGAAACAGGAAACAATAATTATGTACCGTCTCTTTTCAACTCCTTAGAAAAATAGCTACCCCTTTAAAAATTTTACAGGAAAATAGGGCTTGTGACACCTCATTTAAAAGTGGTTTTCATTACCTATTAGTAATAGTAGTTCAATATTTTTGAATATTTTATAATATAATATTTTATAATAGGTAGATTTTAACATTATTTTTAAACGTAAATAATTTAGAACATGTATTAAACTGTGATTCGTTAATTTATTGACAATATACTTTAAAATTCTTGCAACAAAATTTGTTTTAAACATTTATTTTTGTTCAAAATACTTATATTGGTAAATAAAACACTTTAAAATGAGGTATCACATGCCCAATTTTTAACCGACTTCAAAAAAGAAGCAGGTTCCCAATTCGTCGGAATATTTTTTTGTGTGTTGAACGAGAATTCTTTGCCACGTTATCCGATTTTTGTTAGAAAGAAATGGTCCCATATAAATTTGGTCAAGATCTGGTGATGGCATCTGCACAATTTTGAAGTCGATTTTTTTTTGTGTCGTCGGCATCAACTGCTACGGTTATTAGCCTCGTGTTCTGTGTAGGCTTTGTTACTGTTTCAGGATTTTCTTAACAATTATTAATTACGTACAAAACAATGTGTCCGTTATTTTAAGACCTCACTGTATTACCAACATTATACAGGCGGGTCCACTGAAAAAGAAATATGCCTAATAATTTTGAAACCGAAGGGGCCTGTGAAAATTTTAAAAGAGTTCTCTTTTATTCTTATCTGTCAAATTTTATCTTATCTGTCACCCATCAAATTCTTTCACCCCATTTCTCAACCATTAAAATTTGGATCATTTAACTCGTATAATTCATATTATAAAATAATGTTATGGGGAATGAGAAGGGAATACGTTTGTATGAATATAAATACTTTATCTACTAAAAACTTTCATTATTAATTTAAAGCATTATTTTTTACCTAGCTAAAATAAACTTAAATATTTAAAAATTATTGGTATAATATGGAATCTAATATGGAGATATTTAATGGTATGTGATGAATTAATAATAAAATTAGATCACATGTAAGGTGTCATACTTTTTCCCCTACAAGAAATTTAGAGACTGATGTTTATTTAACAATGCCCACTTCTGGCCTATTAAAACATTCCATTACCTACAATGCCAAAAAATTGTACAATAACCTTCCGATGCAATTAAAATCTATAAATACATACGATAAGTTCCGAAGACTGGCTAAAGCTTTTCTTCTAGAAAGACCATATTACACAGTAGCAGAATTTTATAACGTACCTTAGACATTTGAGTTCCACATACAATGGCATTAATTAAATAATTAAATATTAAAGTTTAAATTTAAATTTAAATTTAAAAATTAAATTAGAATAATTATAATGACGGATATTGCATATCCATTGCAATTGTTATTCCTATTTTGTCTGTTTGTTTCTGTTTGTTTTTTCTGCTGTTTAGTTATTTTTATAATATGTTTAGTATTTAAGTTACACGCTTTATCTATAAAATTTATTGATTTTAGGGGGAAACATTTTTTTTGCCAGTTTCGCCCCCTGATCGAAAATCCTTAATCGGGAATGAGACTCACCCCTAAAATTTTAACTGGAAAAAGAGGTCGAATGATAACTTATTTTAAAGGTATTTTTACATAGATTATAACCTCCGAGTTTTACATCGCTACTATCTATGTAGCCCATACAGTGGCTCACCAAAAGTACAAAACCGGTTTAACATCATTTTTATATTGTTATTAAAATAAAAAGAAATTCTTTGTAACAATTCTAGTTCTATTCCTATAGCTTTCAATTATTGTTATCAGATGACATTCTTTGGTAGATGTAAAGTAGTAAGATTTAGTTTATTTCGTTGTAGAGTCAGCTGATAGGGTGTAAATAATTTCACTTTTTTGAGAACAATGAATGTGGTAATAGAACTGCCCAAATGTTTAACAGTCAACATTAAAATCGACAAGTCCATCAAAAGTATATTTTAGAGTTAGTCAAAAATTTTGGAAAACGGAGTCAGTAGCTACCAAATAACGTAAAATGGAAAATGCTATAGTAAATGAAGCTACAGAGGTGACGATTTTAGGGCATGTTGTTCAAGAACCCACATTGAGTACAAGGCAGTTTGCGATAACATCTGGTAATAATAAAAGTAGCATTCAGAAGATATTGAAAAAACATCCCTACAAAATTCATCTGGTATAAGAACTTAACGAAGACGATTTTGATAGGTGATTACAATTTTGTGAAATTATGACTGAACAGGCAATAAATGATCAACAATTTCTTTTCAATGTGTTTTTCAGACGAATGCACTTTTTTCCTAAATGGTACGGTAAATCGTCACAACTGTCGTTATTGGTCCGATTCAAATCCCAGAATATTTAATGAAATACATACGCAACATCCGGAAAAACTGAATGTTTTGGTTGGCACCTTTGGTAACCGTATAACTGTTCCCTTTTTCACCTGGAACTTTAACCGCAGACATGTATCTGGAATTATTAGAAAGCGCCATTTATCCAGCATTACTAGAGTTGATTGAGAATGACGATCAGTACAAAGCAAACAACTTAATAGTGTGCTACCCCATTTTGCACTGACTATTCGTCAGTATTTGGATCAAACGTTTTCAGGTCAATGGATCGGAAGAAGAGAAAGTATTGAGTGAGTGGCCCCCACGGTCTTTGGATCTAACCTTGCTGAATTTTTAATGAGGCCACTTAAAAATTAAAATTTATGCCACTCAGCCAACATCAATGGAAAATCTGTGACAAATGGGGCGTCCATTCATAAGGTAATTTTGAGGATTTTTTTGACCCCCCTCCCCCGTAGTGAGATTTCGTAAGATTATCCTCAACTTCCCCTCCTTGCCGTAATATAAAGTTTCTATAAACATTTTTTACTTTGATTTAATTTTACTTTCACGCAATTTTATATCGTTTTCTATTAGATAAAAATAAACGTTAGATTTACAAAGACCCCCTCTCCCCAAGTAAGATTTGGAAAGATTTAGCTTGATCCCCTCCCCCCCTTGAACACCTCACGTAATTAATGAACAACCCCGAAGGATAATTGATGAATGTCATCAAATCACCCCACAGATGCTTTAAAATGTCCGAGAGCGTTTTGAAGAAAACCTCTATTATTGCATGGAGGCCTAAGGTCAGCATTTCCAGCATTTACTCGAATAAATGGTAAGCTTTTGCAGAAAATAAAAATCGTTAAAAGAACATTGTTAGGAAGACAGTAGCGATTTTAAACTCAGGGGGTAAAATCTATGTAAAAATATCTTCAAAATAAACTATCATTTGACCCCTCTTTCTATTTAAGATTATAGGGACAAGTTTCACCCCCGCTAGAGAGTTTCCATTAATGGATGAAACTAGCAAAAAAATGTTTCCCCCTAAATCCAAAATTGACGTAAAGGAACTGGGGTGCGACAAAATTGGCTATGTTTTGTTTTCAAATGGCTAACCTGTATATATACAATACTCCATTATATGTGTATTAATATTTTATAATACTAATATATTAATATTTTCAAGAATATTTTCATAAAATTAACGCTTTAAAATAGCTTTTAAAAGACCGGTGGTGCCTTTAAGTGAGGTGAGGAGGGTGGAGGGGGGATTGCGCCACTATTTGCCGTATGCTGGGCACCCAAAGCAATTTTTGAGTTCCGGCGCCTATGACACGGTAGGTGTACCTAGGGTTACCAGAGGTCAAGGGAAGTCCAGACATGTTCGGAAATTTGGCACTTTGTCCGGAATGCACCGGGCATTATGCATTGTTTAGGATTTTTAGGAAAATCATCAAACTTATTAAGATACACTTTTTTAAGTGTATAAACAGTTCTTATGTTACTAAACGGTTTACTAAAACACATAATTAAATATTTATCTCAAAGGTCTACATACATAGGGTGTCTCATAAGTATACTTCAAAAATTTAGGATCGAGTAGTACCTACGGATTAACATGACTCTGAAGATCAAATATTTTTTTCTAAGTTGTATCTTTTCAAAGATATTTGGCTTTAGAGTCAAAATAAGGTTTTTAGGTAATATAACTATGACGCCTATTATGAACAAAAGGAAATTTTAGTAATCTGCAAAGCATACTAATAAATAAAATAGCTACACTTCAATCTCTGTAAAATCGGTATACCTCTAAACCCTTAGATTTATCGACAACGAACAAGAGTAGCTTTTTTAACAAACATTATCTGAGGA